GTAATAGAGGAAGTCCTCTGCAGTATTTTTAGACTCCATACACATTTACGAGTATCATTTGGATTTTGTCAGCACTGAAATTTCCTATCTGTTCTAAACAAAAGGTAAAAGGGAGATGTTAACTTGAAAACTACCACTAAATGACATCAGAAGGAAGAGAGCACCTTGAGCTTTACAGAGACTAATGATACAGGGTTACTCATTGGTGGCATGGTGGCTGAGTGGCTAGCACTCATGCCTTACAGTAAGAAGGTTCTGGGTTTGATACCCAGGTCACCCAGGCCTTAGGTATAATCCTCCAGCTGACCAAGCCTGGCAACAAGATCATGGAGATGGGTCCCTGAGTGCTCCATGTGCTGTCCATTTCCTCCTGAAATGAAATGCAGAGGAGAATTTCCCTACACGGATAGTAAAAGTACTTTGAAACTAAACAAAAAAATATAAAAATATAATAATTACTAATATGTACATGTGTGAATTAAAGAAAACATGACAGGTATGTTTTGTTGAGGAAATAACATTCTAACAGCACAGCATTAAACATATAAAGTTCCCAAGAAACAAGTAAGTGACATTACAAGACAAATCACAGGTCAGATCTGTGGAAAGGTGACGCTGAGAATGAATGTATATTTTTGAGCAATAAAAATACCTGTAATTTAAGACATGCTTAATGTCATACTGTGGAAAATTCTCGACAAAGCAGTAACATCTCAGTGGAGACAATTAAGTGGCCGACCCTCTAACTGAAAAGTTGCACAGTGTACCTTTAAAGCTGCATAATGTAACTTTTTGTTTGTCTGTCACCTTCTCATTTCTATAGATATGTCATTGCTCTGCCAGAAATGTTCCACAGTATGACATTAAACAGCTCCAGGTGGTTTTATAACTCAGCAATGCCTTGAAACACAGGCTTTCTGACAGTGAGCAGGGTCGCCTCTCCACAGATCTGACCTTTAACTTGATCTAGCTTGCTCTATATGGAGATAGAAATGTTTAGTGTCATACTGTGAAACAAGCATTTGACGGATCCTCCACCAGAAAAGTTACACAATGCACCTTTAAAGATCACAAGAGGGAATTTCAGGTAATGTAGGAGCTTTAAACAAAACCCTGAAATAGAAGGCAGTGATGATCTGTTTGTGCTTGTTTGTTTATGGCTTCTGTTGAGCGCGGAGGTGGAATGTTTTCAGTGACTGAAGCTGCGGCGGAGCGGAGAGTGAGACTAACAAGTGGTTGCCATGGCGCAGGGGCGAGCTTCGCGAGGGAGAGATAGGAACCGGAATGATAATGAGGCATCGCGAGTCGGGAAGGCGCCGGGGACAGACCTGCGTTCTGTACCACACATACCACACAGCGACAGAAGAAATACATTAAACAACTGTCCTCTCTCTCGCCTGTCCCTCCTGCTTTATCTTGCTCTCTTTAGAAGTGGTGCATCGTGGGAAGGGATCGCACAGCAGCTATGGGCGGATGAGAGAGAGGAGGATGCACCCAAGGCAGCGGAGATGTCTGGGCGAGTTGGTTGGCGAGGGACAGAGGACGCAACAGGTCTGTGCGGATGATCATGAAAGCCTGGTGGTAAGGAGCTTATCTATTTTACCTGTGTACAGTTTTTCTATGCAGTGTGTCTGAAATCCCCCCTCCTCTGTATTGCAGTGTCCTCTTCATAGTAACACTTCCTTCGCACATCTGTCTCATGTATCCCTACCTCTCACAGTGTGTTTCTATGGACACCTGCTGAGTCCTTGTCACGTATGAAACACTTTTTGTAATCATCGTTGTGGAATTGACTTTAGTTTAGTGAATTCGCTCGTACCAGCTGTCACCGCTGCCCATGTTTTGTGTGATGGAATTGCGTTGCCAGACTGCCATCTGCTCGAATGCAACAGGTAAAAATCCACACATGCTACGTATAACTAGGCAGTGAAACATAGCATTGTGTTTTTGTGCGTTTTCGTCATTGATTTGAAAAGGTTTTGCGGACATGTTGAGGTGGAGGTGTTCATTTTAATCCAGTGTTCAGGGCTTGTTGCCATGGTTCATGAGGATGCCGTGATGCCTTAAGGACTATAGTGTGCCATAGAATCTTCGGGCAAGGTTTTCTAGAAAAGAAAAAGAGCAGATTTTAACCTTTATGGAAAAAAAAAATCAGATTTACTTAATTTAGTGTACAGTATCGCTTGCGAGCTCTATGGATTCTAAAATTTTTCTTGACGTTAGTTCCTGTTGAAACACGAATGTATCGCTCACTGAATGGATATGCAGGTGTAATATTTATTATATCTTAAGAAAAAAGAGAAAAAAGCTATTAGACTTGTTGGTTACTATAATTACCAATAAACCTAATAAATTATTTTTAGTATTGACAAATGTGCATGACGTATTGCAAAGGGAAGATTACCATGGCAGTGCAGTGATAGGAACACAAAAAACATGGCACATTCTTTGTTAAAAAAGGAACAAAACAAAGACTTTATATAGTTTAGACAATAAGGGGGTATTTTTTGTAGCTGCCTTGTTCAAACAAATGAAATTTGTCACAGCAGGATCTGGAGGCTGTCAGTTTTGATCCACTAATTGTTGTCTAGTAGTTGTCATTGCATAAGCTCCACCATATTTTATAAATAATAGAGAAAAATCATTGACAAATTCTCAGTATTATAATTTGCAGGAATCATGCACTTGTTTATTCCTACATTGTTTTCACCAGTTTTGAACATATTGATCCTGAGTTAATTGGAATCCTTATTTACTGTAACTGTTGACTATTGCTCTCAACTCGTAACTCATTTCTTGTGCTTAGCCATTGTGAAAAATCATTAACAAATTAACAGTACTATGATTTGCACCAGTCATCTTTTTAAATCGTATCTGCATATTGATCCACGGTCTATGCTAACCAGACAGCCATTTAATTTATCCTGATATACTAATCTATTTTGAGTGCTCTCCAGGGAGGATGCAGGCATGTTGTTTTCACCATATATTATAATGTAATTGTGAAAAATCATTAACAAAACTGTAGCATTTGTAGGTCTGTAGCGGCCATAAAATATCTCTTTTTAAATGTTATTGTTTCTGCATATTGATCCACAGTCTATTTTAATGGGAATCCCAGACAGAGAGCCCGTACGTATAGTCTGATACCCTCTAACTGCTGCCAAGTTGTCATTCTTTCCTTTATGCTTCACCATAAAGTAATAGTCAAAAATCAATAATCTCTTTTTAATTCATTTATATTGTTTTATGTATATTATTCTCCAGGCTATGTTAAAGGTGCACTGTGTAACTTTTCTGGTGGATCACTGCTTTGTTTCCATGATGATGATGTTATTAGTTTGAATGGATCCCACAATATGGCATAAAACATGTCTGTCTTCATGGAGACAAGCCAGTGACTGCACCTGGCCAAGTTACAGGTCAGATCTGTGGAGAGGTGACCCCACTTTCAATGAGAATACATAATTTTAAAGCTATTTTTGAGCAATAAAGCACACATTATTTAATCAATGCAGCATTTTTAACTGTAATACGATACTGTTAATACTGCCAGGTAAAGCAATGACATCTCCATGGAGACAAACATGCGCCAATACTCCATCAGAAAAGTTACACATTGCACCTTTAATGGGAGTCCCAGACAGCCCTTAGTATATTTAGTCTGTAACTGCTGTTCAGGTAAAATGCAGACTTTCACCGCCCTGAGTCTTTCTGAGGAGGGATGAGGAGGTTGGGCCCCGTGTTAGCTCCATGTTTATAAATAACTGTGATCAAAATAAACAAATTAGCAAAGTAATCATGATATTAATCCCCAGTCTGTTAATGTGAATCCCAGACAGATCTTCCATATATATATATTTCCTGATTTAGGTTGTCCAGGTATGATGCAGGATAATAATTATAAAGTAATTGTGAAAAATCATGATCTCTTTTTAAATGTATTTGTTTAAATGTATTCGTTTATCTATTAGTTTATCTTCTCTATCAATTTCCAGTTTGTGCATATGAATCTTCAGTCTATAGTAATGGGACAGTCCGGAATTTTGGACATAGGACCTCATTTCCTAGTGAGCCAGAGTGTTGGAGATGTTTGGAGACACTTTTTAAAATATTTCATCCAGTCCTTTTATTTGCAGAGGTCGCTGGTGCTAGACTCGCGCATGTCAATGGCCATAGTTAGCCTGCCACTAAAAACAGTCTTACCCACTCCACAAAACACTCAAAGCAAATCTGTTATTACACCAGACAGTCGATGTAAATGTCTGTGTCGACAGAATAATTTTAGAAGTAAAACCATTCTTGCATTTGAAGGATTTATGTCTGAGCAGCATCAGCGATTTGTACTTCCTGACAGAAAGCTTGGCAGCGACGGACTGATATATGAGAAAATAGTCTCCACATGCAACAATTCATGCGATGCAAGGTTAGTTTTATTTCAAACATCATTCTATCAACACAGACATTTACATTGACAGTCTGGTGAAATAATAAAGTGGGTAAGACTGTTTTTAGTGGCAGGCTAACTATGGCCATTGACATGCACTAGCCTAACACCAGCGACCTCTGCAAATACAAGGACTAGATAGAACATTTAAAAAAGTGTCTCCACACGTCTCCAACACTCTGGTTCATTAGGAAATGAGGTCCTATGTCCAAAATTCCAGACTGTCCCTTTAATGGGAATGCCAAAGTGCCCTTACATATAGTCTGATATCCTGTAACTGTCATCCAGGATGTAGGTTAATTATTGTCTTCACCACATATCCTAAAGTAATTGTGAAAAATCATGATCTCTTTTTAAATGTATTTGTTTACTTCTTACCAATTTCACCAGTTTGTGCATATTAATCCCCATTCTATGTTTATGGGATTGCCAAAGAGCCCTTACATATACCGTAGTTTGATATCCTTTAACTGCTGTCCAGGTAGGATGCAGGCTTTCACCGCCCTGAGTCTTTCTGAGGAGGGATGAGGAGGTCGGACCCCGCGTTAGCACCATGTTTAGTGCCCACTATAACCACTCTCTGGCTGCCATGAGCCCTGACATGGCCCACTCCCTGACCCTGGAGCAGAAGACCGCCTTCGCCTTCGTGGGAATGCTGCTGGTGTTCCTGGCGCTCCTCATCATCAGGTGTTTCCGGATCTTACTGGACCCTTACAGCAGTATGCCCTCTTCCAACTGGTCGGACGGCATAGAGGGGCTCGAGAAAGGGACGTTTGAATACGCCCTAACCTAACACAGGGAGAGAGATACTGTGGAGATACCCATAGAATTGAGTGGACTATTTTGACACAAGCACATAAAGGAAGAAAGGAATAAATGGAGTATGTTTTTGTATGTCTGTGTAGAGTCTATCGGAGTGAATGCAAGGATATTCGGAGCAGCACATTTGAAATATTTTTATTTTTATGAAATCAAAATGGCGGATGGTGAATTTTGTGCCAAGGGAACAAGAATGACTATCGCACCTTCATGCACCATTGACTTCCTGTCAGTGTGGATTACAAACTTTTTCATGCGTTTTGCCTTTATTTTGTCTTCCACTTTTTTGGAGATTTGTTTTGCATTTTTCTCAACCAGCAAAAGCTATTAATCAAAGGCCATATTTTATTAATATTTTTGCTTTAAATCTTATTGTTTATCCTGAAAATGGATGACTCAACTGTGACTGTGGTTCGGGTTGTGTTCGTAAGCCTTCAACAAGCTATGAAACCAGTATCTTTTCAATTGCCATGCTTTCTTCTCCAAATATGCCATAATTTCTTCCATTTTGAAAGCTTTACCATTTGAAATAGCTGGAGGAGATATTCTGGGGTCCACTGTTACACTATGAGCCATGCTTTTGAGCTGAATGTCAGTGAGTGGTGGAGAAATTAGGCCGCTGTGGGATTAATTTATTTGAAGACTCAGGGACAAGACTCTGCACAAGAATGTATGGCTGGAAACAGGGTAAAAAGTCTAACAGTGTCGTAACTTTGTGAGTCAGAAACGGACTTGGCGGCCTGTCTGAAGTTGTTGGATACAGTGAGAAAGGTATTTAATCTAACTGTGATTTCTACAAGATGCAAAAACAGATCCAGGAGACTGCTCCGTGGGTGACGTTGAGTGATGACCTGGGAGAATTGCCACGGTTTTCATGTTTAAATGTGCGAATTGCAGTGTACGTCTGATCTGTGGTGATGGATGGCATTTGTCGACAGTTTTATTTTTGTATGAAGCGCTTAAGTCTTAGTATCTGGGGCAGGAAGAAGGCAATGGTTCAGTTCATATGCATTCAAATGTTGCTCATTTTTTTCTCATGGTGTTACAAAGCCATTTTTGAATTGCGTCATGTTTTATTTTTGTATGAAGTTGCATTGTGTAACTTTTCCACTGGGGGTCCATCACCTTCTGGTTTCTATGAATGTGTCATTGCTCTGCTTTGAATGTTCCACAATATGACCTGAAGCATTTATTAAATTCCAGGTGGTTTTATAGCCCAAAAATACCTGGAAAAACAAGAATACTGACAGTGAGCAGGATTCCCTCTCTATAAATCTGACCTGTAATTGGTCTACGTTTACATGATGACAGTCTGAATAGAAGACGCAAAAGTGGCGTCGCGTCTTCACTTTTTATTCCGCGTTTAGATGAGCGTTTTTGGGAGGAAATCTGCATGCATACGGTGACACAAAAGTGTGTTGAATTCACTTGGGTATGCATGCCAGGCGGCTAGGTGGTGATGCGAGGTGGTGATGTATGTGACATAAACACGTATGCGACGTGAGCAGATCTGACCAGAGTTTTGTGTCTTGGGCAGTGTAGACGGAAATGCTACGGCGGAGCCTATTCAACTTTTTCACTCTGGAAGGTGGTTTCAGATTTTTGTGTTTTTAAGCCCCAAAAACGCCGTCACTGTCTAAACAAAAGGCACTTCCCGATAAAATATTTTGCTGTGTTTACCCGCAAGCGTTCTCGTGTAAACAGGCCCTTGGTCTGGTTTGGTCTCCATGAAGATAGAACAGTTTAATGCCATACTGTGAAACAATCCGGACAAAGCAATAACATCTTCATGAAGTAAAGTATTTGGTGGACCCTCCAGTAGAAATGTTACACAGTGCATCTTTGCGTTTTAGTATCTGGAGCAGGAAGGAGTAACACAGTGAAAAAGGTGCACATCGACTAATTAGAACGATGCAGTGTAGGGCAATGGTTCAGTTCATATGCATCAACCATTTTTGAACTGCGATATGTTTTATTTTTTGATGTATAATTCATCTTTTCATTTACTTTTTGGAAATGATTGAAAACATTATCACGAAGGTTTATGTGTTTAAAGGAAAGTAAAGCAGCTGAAATGTTTAGGACATATTTGGTGACTTTAAAATTTGATGGTTTCTTGTTGATTGAAAGCAGAGGTGGGTAGTACTTAGTTACTTAGTTCACTCAATTACAAGTAATTTTTGGACAAAATAAAATTGGACTTCTTGAAATCCTCACTTAGGTGTTTTAGTTGAGTAACCATTGCATCTACATGTAATAAAGGCTTTTTGTTGAGGTTTTTAAATAATTTGGATGTTTACATGTTTTGCTTTGCTCATTCTGATTTGATTTGATTTAGTTTATGTATCTTGTAGTTGATCCTAAAAATATTAGATTTGTTTAGTCTTTCCAGTTACATTAACTTCAAACCTAAAATCAGATGTCCGTCCAGACTGTTACTAGAGTAATAATTAACCAAAATACTTTATTACCTTTACTTGACTAATTTCTTGGAGAACTATTTTGTGCTTCTAATATATTTTGACTACTCACCTCTGACTTAAAGGTGCACTGTTTAACTTTTTGTTTGGGGGTTTGTCACCTGCTTGTTTCTGTGCTCTGCCGAATGTTCCACAGTATCTACCTTTTACATTTATTCAATTACAGGTGGTTTTATAGCTCAAAAATACCTAGAAAAACAGGCACCCTGACAGTGATTGGGGCTGCCTCTCCACAGACCTGACCTGTAACTTGGCCTGGTTTGGTCTCTACAAAGATAGAAAGGTTTAATACCATACTGTGAAACATTCCAGACGAGGCAATAACATTTGACGGTTCCTCCACCAGAAAAGTCACACAATGTTCCTTTGAAGTACATTACACTTTGTTGTGTTTAGAGCTGCAAAACTGACATCTAGCCATAAACCAATCCTTGTCATAATGTCCTGCTATCAGTTGTCTAATGTAAAATATGCTGTTTACAAAGATAGTTATAATGTCTGTGAGTGAGAACAGCTGCAGAACTGTGTTAGGACCTTGGCCCATTTAAACTGAAGGTCATAGTAATTGAATAGAGACAAACACACACACCAGCCAATGACAATATTACACCATGACATCTCCGCTGCACCCTCCGTATTGGAAGAAAACTCCGACCTTGCGTTGAAAGACTTTGACAAAATGCGCTGTTACTCTGTCAGCAGTTTCGAAAGTAGTTCAAGGTCGGATTAGCTGCCAACATTTCGGAGCAACGCCCAAAACTTTACTGTTAAATCCAGCTGCCAATCAGTGCTTTTTGTGAGTCGGGTGAGATGTGGTGTGGTCGTAATGTTATGGCTCCTCTGTGTATGTCCACAGTACTAAACCCTGGTTTCATATGTGCACTTGTGATGTACTGGAGTAGAAATAACAAGTATTTTGTCAACTTCAACTTCAATCTGCCCTGTTCTGGCCAGTACGATGAAAATACTGCCAACACATTGTTAAAAGTGTTAGTCAATGGCATTTCAATATTGTGCAAATCTGAAATATTTGTAGAATGTTATTTTATTTTTATTTTAATCAACAACTAGTATTTTTAGTCATCATCTTTCGGCTTTAAGAGGGATACAATACTACTCAAAAGATTAGTATGCACAGACCGAAAACCATTAAATAAGCCATATTCATTCATCACAATTAAAATTCATGCTTTAAATATTTTACTTTGACCAAATTATACAAAAAGTGTATGATTTAGACGTCCTCTTATTCATAATATTATAATGTATTGACTAACACTCTTCGCGTTTTAGAGGTTTTAGAGGAAGATGACTCCAAATATCTAATATACTTTAAACAGAAATGATTTGATTGTGAAGACGTGATCAGCTTTACATTTTTGTTGTGTTTTTCGCCACTGGAAAATTCAGACTGCCACTTGTGAACTCGAAAATCAAAATGGACTTTCTCTACAGTGTTATTTTTAAAGACAATACAAGAACTATTCGCAGACATCCTCGAAAATCCCACTGAGAGATTTAAACAGGACTTGATGCAGTTGGCTAATTTTTACGACCTACTGTCTGGCTCTGTCTCTCTTTTTCTCTCTATCTTTCTCTCCTCCTTTTCTCTGCATTATCTGTCTTTCTTGCTCTCTCTTTTCTGTCTCTCCTTCTCCCTCCCTTTCTGTGTTTGTCTCGCTCTTCCCCTGTTTATCTACCCCCCCTCTCTTTTTCTAACTCTTGCTTTCTCTGTATCTGCTCCCTTTCTCAAACACCCTTTCTTTCCCCCATCTCCCTCTTTCTCTCTTTTCTCTCTCTCTCCCATCTTCCTTGTATTTCTGTCTTCCCCTCTCCATCTCTCTCACCTTTTCCTTCTCTCTTTCTATCTGTATGTCTCTCTTTCTGACTGCCTCTATATTGATCTTTCCTGCTCCGTATGTCTGTTGTTCCTCCTCAGTCTCTTTCTCTCTCTCATTCTACCTTTTTTCTCTCTTTTGGCTTATCAGTATCTCTCCGCCCTCTATCTATGACTCTTTCTCGATCCCCACATCTCTCTCTCTCTCTCTGGATACCACTCTCTTCATCTCTTCATTCCCCATTCCCCGTCTCTCTCTCTCTCTCTCTCTCTCTCTCATATTCTCTGTTTCCCACTCTCTCTCTCTCTCTGCCTCTCTTTCCCCCTCTCTCTCGTTCCCTCTTTCTCTCCCTCTCGCTTTCCCTCTCTCTCCCTCTCTCTCTCTCTGCCTCTCTTTCCCCCTCTCTCTTTCCCTATTTCTTTCTCTCTCTCTCCCTCTCTCTTTACCTCTCTCTCTCTCTCTCTCTGTTTCTCTCTTGCTGTGTTTATCTCCCTCTCTCTGCATTTCTCTCTCTCACTCGCCTCTCTGTGTTTCCCTCTCTCTTCCTCTTTATCTCTCTCGCTCTCTGTTTCTCTCTCTCTTTCCCTGTCTCGCTCTCTGTTTCTCTCTCTCTCTCTCACTCTCTGTTTCTCTCTTTCTCTGTGTGTGTTTCCTCT